TATATATATATATATATATATATATATATATAATGTATGTATATATATATATATGGAATACATATACAAAAAGTGTTTTAAATACAGTCCGGCTCGAAGTTTTCTTCAAAAGTCAACAGTTTCCGAGTTGTTGCAAGGCATCGCTGAAATGTTCCGGTTATTATTTTTTCTGAAATACGATATTTCTTCGCACACCCGTGTTGAATTTTAAACTCGCGTCTGGACCGTTGAGTTTAAAACATTTTACATATATGTAAAATGCATATGTAATATACATATATGTATATTACATATGCAAGAGAAAGGAAGAAAAAGGAAGGAGGGAGAGAGGAAGAAAGAATGGAAGAGTAAGTAAAATAAAAGTCTCTCTACACGGAAAAACGTTTTTTGCTGAAATAGCAAGGAGATCAGTTGCTACGCGACCGGCGAAAAAAATTTGGCGCTGAGTTGGCCTGCGTTGTATCTTCCGATTTGCCAACGAAACTGTGTTTCGTTGGCGAAACAAAATAATAATTCGGTGAACTCGGCAAATTTTTTCTCGCTGGTCACGCGAGATAGCAAATCTTTTTTCTCCGCGATCAAATCTCCGAAGAAGAAACTCGGTGGGAATTCTCGGCCAGATTCTCACTCTTCGCTTCGTACAATGTATAAACAAACATCCGATAAATCTTTATCGGACAAAGTATATCTTGAATAAAAACAATTGCCGCGCGCACGTCTGAAAACTCAATTAATTTCAATCAAGAAAATCATCTTCGCTCAAGTGCCGATCGCGTAAAACAAAATTTTGCTCAACAACACATCCCCACCCGAGTTTCTCCCGACGAACAACCTCCGACATACATATCCGTATCTCCTTTGTACTATTAATCGCTGCTAAACAGTGCTGTTGGCGCTAATGCACATTTATATACGACGTTAAACAATATAGACCATCTGTTTTTCTTTTACACGATCTAGGAACTTTTTCTAAATAGAACTAGAGAGCTCGCAGAAAAGACATTGAGTTTTTTTTCATTTTACTTAGAAGATCTAAGCAGCGTTAAGAGATAGATATATATATATACATATATATATATATATATATGTATATATATCTGATTCTAAGTGACAGGTACGCAAACGACGTAGAGAATGCTCATCAAAAAAAAGGGAAAGAGACGCCGAGATCATCCCTCGTACGTTCGATCTTCTTCGCAAGATGGTCTCGACCTCTGTTTTCCTGATCCATTCACTCGTCTCTTCACATGGTCGTTTTAAACTACGGAAAAAACGCGGGAACAACTCGAGACGAGATTATTCGCGCGCGTGTTGGAACACGGATGAGTCTTCTATATATGTATATATATATATATATATGTTATATTTTACGCGAGTACGCAGCGGAAGCAAATGTATAGTAAAAAATATTCGAGGCGCTCGCGCGATATTATTTCATGAACGATTTTTTTGAACGCGAATTTCCGCGCACGGATCGCCAGTCGGTGGACAATAACGAGTACCCGTGCTTGTACACTTTTTTTTTTATATATATATATATTTCTTTTCAATCGACGACTTCTACGACTAATGTAATATAGCAACTAGACATTTCCACGTTGCGGATATGTATATGTGTCACTCGACCGATGATCTATCTAAAATCTAGATATGCAACAGCGGGAGAGTTCACTTGCAAGAAAGGCGGAAAAAAAAAACAAAAAACAAAAAACAAAAACTGTCGAAGAACGCGTTTAATTCAGATTTTTGATGTCGAAAGTCTCTTTCTCTAATGTCTCCGTAAAAAAGCGAACAAATCGTCGACAGGCTCGTCAATTCTTCTTGATGTTTATATAAAAAATAATAAATCCGCGGTAAAACAGCAATCCGATTGCATTCTAACGGGGGCAAATAAATTCGTATTCGAATTGTTGACGAAGCATGTGTGTATGTGTGTGTCTTACGATTATTACACGTGGAACTACTTCGAACAGAGGCAGTGATTTGTTCGCGAATCACATTTCACAGTGCAATCAGTAGACGCACCTCGCACGTTGTCAACTATTTTGATTTTTTTCTATCTCTGTGATATGATGTCGAGCGAGTTTTTTTTTTTTTTTTTTTTTTTTTAACACTTTTCAACAGGCTTGAAAAATCAAGGCGCGTATATATATACATACATGTGCGCGTGCGCGAACTAGAATTAAAGGAATGTCTGATGAATCGTGGAAAAAGTTCGGATGCGCTTCCATCAACATCGAGAATGTGAAGAGAAAGGTTTCCCTTTCGCTCCTTACCCCTTCCCCGTTGCGAGCTTAATTAAAAGAGAAAACACAAAATTGACACTCGTAGGCTTTTCCCAACAGAGACACACAAAAAGTTTATAAAAAATATATCGGTATATATGTACACATGTCTACAGTTTTATAAGCCCGAAGTTCTTAACTTATAATTTCTTTCTATCTCTCTCTCTCTTTCTCTCTTTCATCAATATCAAGTGCTGTGCGATCTTGTAATTAGGCCATTCAGATTTGGCCGCGCGAAATGCCACGATATGATATGCAATATTCCGAAAAAGGCGCGCCGAATGCCCGTACTGGTTGCACTGTGATCAAATTATATTAATTAAATTGAGCTACGTTGTCACATTTGAATCGTCACGTTTTTGATTCTGCGATAAATTATTCAACACGCACATAGGATTTAATAAAAAAATTTAAATTATATATAAAATATATAAATAATATATATAAAAATTTATATTATATATATATTTTATAATATATTTTGTATATATAACATGAGCCTGAAAAATGTAGATTTAGAATCTAATGTTGTGTGTTCGTATGAGAGTTAGCGCCGTATAGAATTTTCCGCGACTGTATTATAACGCACAAAAATTTATTGCGACACGCAAAGCCGTTCTAATTTAACGATATCGGGTCGTAATTTTTAATAATGATATCGAGACGAGAGAAAATAAACAATTGTGGGGTGTCGATCGAATTCCGGGTTTTTAGTCCAACTGTGTGCGCGCGCGCGCGCGATGACAACCCCGTTTCGCTCGCATTTTGATATTCACGATTGATATTAACGATTTTTTAATTTGTATCATGCAATGTAACTTGTAATTAATTAACTATTGCTTCAACTATATATATATATAACGTTCCGCGTCCGTCCCGATGGATCATAATCCGGGATCGAATCCAATCGAATGCGATGTGATCGTCACTCCATTATTTCTGTACTTGCGAGCGTTTTCCGCCGAGGAGGATCGATTGCGGATAGCTCCGCTACTTCGCGACGAAATTAAATTTCTTTCTTTGATTTGCGTTGACGAAAGATCGTTGAGAAAAATTGATTTTAACGACGTCGAAATCTCAATTCGCGCGCGATTAATCGACCGATTACGTCGCAATCGTTCGATCGCGAAATACAGAAATAACGAGCTGTTGCAATAAGCCTACCGCGTCGGAGATGATCGGTGCGAATAAATGCGATTACATGTGTGTTGCAGCGTCTACAATAGCGGAGATAACTGCGCTATAAAGTGATAAGCCTCGCTACGACGAGAAACGGTATTCCTGAGCGAGACTATTCGCGTCCGAGCTCTTGTAAATCGCGCAACCGTGTCCGCTCGACTTGCTCGCTTTTCTCTTTTCCTCCGGCACCGTCGTCGACTTTTTCGTCTTGTACGGGCGTAGTATCAGCTTGGACTGCTCTTGCTGCGCGCGCGCCTTCGGCCTCCGCAACTGCTCGTCCGGCTCTTTGTATTGCTTCTCCACTGCCACCTCGTCTCGGACGTGTTTATCTTCTGCAACGTACAAAAAAAAAAAAAAAAAGAACAAAAACAACTAAGCGAAGATGTTAAAAATGCAGTAAAAATTGAACGACAATTCTAAAGTTCGTGAAATAAAACTTGAACGAATGGGAAGCCGTTTTTTTCTTCCTCGTCGAACTTCTCGATCGAAGAAGAAACTCATCAAGATACTCGCGGTGGCGAGTCACGACGCCCAAGTCTATTAAAAAACTTCTCGACGAAGAAAAACTCGCGTGTGTCCACCACGAACCTTGGACGACGTCGCCAAGTGAGACCTTCGACCTTCTCGTGACGCTGCCTTTTCGGTCCGCCTCGTCGCTCGTGCACTCGCTCTCGATGTTGTTGTTCGTGCGGAATATCGACTCGAGGACCTGTCGCGAGAGCAACGGCGATATCGAGCGTTTCTTAACGCGCGTGTCGTTATTCGCATTGGCCGGAACGTCGCTCATCTCGTTGTCGCATACGCTCGTCGTTGACACGTTGTCCGTGATCAGCTTCTCGGTGTCCGAGTCGCCGGTGTTGCTGTAATAATTGTTACCGCTGTCGGACTTCTTCAGGATGGACTTCGATATTCGGTGACGGTCCGTGTACGACGCGCCATCGCTGTCTATCGAGTCCGCCGACAACGAGAGCTTACTCTCGCCGCTTGTTTCTGAAAATCAAAACCACAACGTCAAATTAATCCTCGCACCCTTCAAAAAGAACCGTGGCCGGGTCGGTCCCGACATCCTGCCGAATAATTATAATCGCTTCGCGTATTTTTGACAGACTCGGTCTGCGTCTTTTTCAATCTAAAAACGATGTTGTTTCGGCTATAAACGTCGAATCGCGTTCATCTATTGCCAATATTTAGTCGTATGTTGATTTATGTGAGGGGGAGATAATAACTTTAACAAACAGTCATCGAGTGACCCAGTCATCGTCGAACGAGAAGATTCAGCACCGCAATGTTAATCCTGTCAACCGATATCCGATATATTGATATTTACCTGCGTAATGCTTGGACCCGCCGAGGGATCCAAACAAGTGATGATTGATGATACGAGTGGCGGACGCTAGGCTATTCGTCGTCGTGAACGGGGAGGGTCTGCCACCGCGTAGTCTACCGTAATGATTGTTGTTGTCCTCCGTGATGGTGTCCTCTCTCGAGATGATGTCCCGTGTCACACCCTCCTGATCGCTGACGAACTGCGCCCGTGGTTTTATGTTCTGCAATCAGTCGCGCGTATCGATCACGCACACACACACACACACATAATCGCGTGGGCGATTCTCTTCGTTCGCTCGCAATTGCGGTAGCACAAACAAGGAGCACAAAAAAAAAAAACAAAGTTCTTACCGCGCGTTTCTTCGTCGGTACGTAATTTCGCCGGATTTACGTTCGGATGATTGGGAAATCAATCTTTGTTAAATATTACTTGTTACATTTTTATTTATAGACACCGTCGTTCAACTTTGCTTCTATATTTACACGCGTACAAATTCTATTAATGAAACTACACCAGGTAGTTTAGTTTCCCGGTGACATACACACACACAGGGAGTTTTCCGCGAGAACCTATAAGAGTGGTAAAGTAATTCTTTCAAGTTCAAGCATGCACGTGACCATAGCACGAGCGACTTGCGACGACTTGGGAAAATGTACACAATGCGTGACGATCATCAACGGATCGATGCGCTCACACGTTCAAGTCGCTCGAAAAGAAAAAACAGTTGCAACACACAGAGACACAGACGCGTCATCATTGCCTTGTACAATTTACAATGTTATACAATGTTATATATTAAGTATTGCAGAAACAAATGTGTAGCTGCACACGGCGAAAGAAAACTATGATAACTAATGGATAAAGAATAATAAAAAATATCCCAATGACCGGACATTTATTTAATAAAATAATTATATTTATAAATATTTATTAAAAAATTGTGACATATCTATTACATGTAAAGTTAGGAAATGAACATTTTGAAAACTCCTAAAAATCTGCTTGAAACATCGAAAACTGTTGTGTGTCTTTGATGAATGTTCGGCCATTGGCACGTGTCCAGTTATTGGAAACGGTTATTTTGCTGCGTTTAGAAAATGGCGGAAAAAGGGAAAAATTTATATCGCTAATGCATGTGTAACAAATGTGTTGGCAGACGACAGAGATCCCATGCGACTGCGTGTGATACATATATATATATATGTATATATATCGTGAATGAAATGAAATGAAATGAATGAAGCGTATTATATATTATTATATATAGTTTCCATGTGGAGAGAGACGCAAGGTGAAGAACGATACCCGCTATCAGTCGCCGGCCAAGCGCGACACGCCGTCACGCTGCGAACGAGCTTTACTTCCGTGTCCGAGCGCCGACGTGCGATATCGCGCGTTTCCCCTCTGACGAGCATCGGAGCGTTCAGAAAAGTACGATAGTGTCTGTTGGCGATCGCTCAACTGCGCTCCGCTTGAGGTCTTGGCGATTTTTGCGGCTGAAAAAAGCAGCGACGGTGCGGTGCGTGAGTGCGGTTTGTGGACGTGCGCAATCGTCAAATGTCACTGTGCGCTCGCACGACTCGTAATTTTTTTTTTTTTTTTTTTTTTTCTATCCGCGCAACGTGTAATATGACTTTCGAACGATTGGCGCACTATCCACATGAAAGGTGGTAGTTGACCGCAAATGACATTGCGGTGAATCGGATCGTTTTGCGCAAGATCATTTGCGACCGCTTTTCTCTCTCAGATGGCAATTTGAGAACATTGAGAAAAACTGAAAGTAGTCAATGATACGTACGTGAAAAAACATAACGCTCGTATTTTCCTGTAATATAATAATTTTCTTTTTGCACACATTTTTTTTATTCCGTCTGTGATATATATATATATATATTGATTAAATCGCGCGTGTGTACCTATAGCGGAGCGGGAGAAAATCGGAAAGTGACGACCGAGCGTGTTGCCGCGCTTAAGAAATCGTTCGCACATGACTCACCTGTTGGATTCTTATTTTTCTATGCTTGGGTAACGTGTCGTTCGGGTTGACCTTGCTGGCCGCCTCATTGCCGGGCCGGATCTCCTTGAGGGATTCGACGCTGGGCGACGCGTTAGCGACAATGCATCGCTCGACGTCGCCGGAAATGGATTTTTTCACACGGCCGCATTTCTCCGTCGCTTCCAGAGGATTCACGTAAAGATTGCTGTCCGCCTCCTCGGTCAAATCTCCCTGCGAAACCGAAAGGGGAGGGAAATTGTTCCGCGACCGAGCTTTCGGGTTGAGTATTAACGCGGATTACTTCCCGCGGGTTAACTCAGCCGCGGAAGTGACAAATGGCTTTCGCGTGCGCGCGCGAAAACACGCAAAGCGGATTTTATAATACTCTAATTGTGTAATTACACAGTCTCACGAAGTACTACATCGACGGTTTTTATGTGCGGAAGCGTGGGGTGAAAGATTAACACCGGAGCGACCCGTCAAAATAACGGGTTTCAGATTTTTGGTCTCAAATTGACCGAAATAAAGTGGTTGATTTTATTTTGAGGAAAAATTAAGCATAAAATATATATTAAAAGTCTTCCGAAAAAAACTTCTATTTCTCGATTATTTAAATATTAAAGGAAATATTGAAAACAAAAAATTTGAATTGTTTTCAAATACCCCGTCAAATTGACGGATGAAATCGGGTGTTGGAAACGGGTGTTGAATCGAATTGTGGTGAACTCCGCGATTGTTTCAGTGTCAAAGTGTATCCTCTCATTGTTTTTGAGTGTTTTTTAAATTAATTTTTCTCCTGGCGATACTCTCGGGGAACGCTTGCTCAACAAAAATTAAATAAAAAGCCATTACGTCGAGAGAAAGAAGACTTTTAATTCCTCCAGCATCGAATATATTGTACATCATATACGTCGTCGTAGCATACATGCAACGTGTGTGAATATAACATTCGATTATTATCATAACATTTGTACGATATATTAAATATGTGTATATAGTCTCGGAATGACATGTAGAGAGAGAGAAAACAAAAAAAAAAATCATATAACAACAGTTCACCAAATCTAATTTCGATTGCCGTATTTTTTTCTTTTTTTTTTTTTCGACTTTCTCGCTCTGTTACAGCTGTGTATAAAAAATTGTACAATATGTATCTCGTATCGACTAGTCGGAAAACGTGTCTCGTTTTACATAACACGCGCGTAACATAATTGTTGTTGTATTTTGTGTGTTGTGTGTACGTGTGCGTGTGTCCCCGGGTTGTTTGGTTTCGCGTGTGGGAGTGTTTGTCGCGTGTCGTGTGCCGAAAACACTTCCGCTACACGCGCAACATCGACTCGCGTACCTGCGAATGCGAGGGATGCGTCTGGCAGCTCGCGTAAGTGTCGGAACTGTCGACGCTCCCCTGCTCGTTATACGTCTTCGTGTTGCCCTCCTGTTCGTAGTTCATTCTCACGAAGGTCAACGTGTGAGGCGGTTGTACGGGAGACATTCTGGGAGGTTGTTCCGCGTGCGACGAACCACCGAATTGCTCGACGACGCTGCCGCCGGCGAACGTACCGACGACGACGCCGCTTCCGCTGCCGCCGCCGCTACTGCCGCCGATGAACCTGAGGGATCTCATTTCCTGACACACTGAGTTACGAAAGTCGCTGGTGGGCAGGGGCATTATATTCTCCGCGTCCATGAAGTCTTTGTACTCCTAGAAACACGATGGATGAAAAGTCGCGAATTATCGCGAGAGAGGCGTTAAGGGGCAGCGGAAGAGAGAGGAGCGGCGCACTTTAGTTTTTTTCTAAATTCTACGATATACAAAATTGATATGTACAAAAATATATGTGTATATATGTATATTATATTACATATGTACACACACATATTGAAGAAGGTGCAATTTTCCCCTCGCCGACTTCGTTCTCGAAAGACAGACGGAATTTTCTGCGCGAACTTGTTTAAATGTGAGCTTTTCTCGTTTAAAGAGAACCTAATGGTTTTATGTATACAACACAGAGAGACACATTGTGTAATGAAAACTGAAGTCACAGTCAGAGAACTGAAAGTCGGCTTGTTGTGGAAAAGTGCGCTCATTAGTAACGTGTACTCGTTTGCAAAGCAGTTAGGTATCTGACAATAAGAAAGCAAGAAAGAAAAGTCGTGCTCTTTCACGCACACAAACACACGCGCACTCACACACGCTCTCCTCTCTCTCAATCTCTCTTTCTCTCTTTCTCTCAATCTCTCTCTTTCTCTCTCTCTCTCTCTCTCTACATAAGTGTGAAAAAATACTTTCAACTGCTACGAGAGAACTATCTCTATTATACTCGCCTGTGCGAAAGTGTCCGCGCGCTTGAAATACGTTCTGGATCTGCGTATTTACACAGTAGTCGTATATCTACTTAAGAAAAGCTATAATTCACCGTGCGCTCTAAAGTTTCGTTTCGCGAAGCGTTCAAAAGTTTCGGATCCGCCTACCTACCGGATGCGGGAAGGAGGCAAGTGGCAAATGTCCCGATGATCGGACACGTGTACCAATGACCGAGGATTTATCAAAGAGAGAGTACATAATATAGATACGTGAATATATTGAACAACCTCAATGTGTTTGAAGACAATTAAAATTTTCAGTATTATTAATATATTAATTAATATATTAATAACGTTATTATATATAAATTTTATTAATATAATAATTTAATCAATACAATATATATATATTACTAAAATTATTATATTAATAATACATTAATTTTATTTTGTAATTTATTGTTAATATAAATGTTTTTAGATGTGGTTTTTTTTTTTTTTTTAATATATTGATCAGTTTTCGAACTTTACACGCGTTCAAAAGTACCTTCTTATACAATACAATTATTTACACACGTTAAGTGCTGAGTCTATTTGGATTATTTTTCCATTTCGGCCGTCCGGTACTATTGACTTGAGCAATGTCAATATTTTATATCACACGTGACCGACACGGCGCTTAACGTTAACAAATGTTCGGTTAAGTAGTACTCTTGTCCGGTCATATGGGACTTACACGATCTCTAACAGGTGGATTGCTTTTTCTGACACGTCTATCACGCGTCATTTCATTCTGTGAGGCATGCTGGCAAGTCGGTGTGAATAACCGGGATGTATAAATATATATGTATATGCGGTGCATTACACTACGCAATATATGATAAAACCGATAAAGAAACGTATTCGTGCGTGCGTGCGTACGCGCGTATGTGTGTGTATGTGTGTGTGTGTGTGTGTATATATATATAATGAGGAAAAGAAGAGTTTACCTTGACGCCTCAGTCAGTCATGCCTCTCGTTTCTCATGCATGCTATATTGTTATCGCAAAAAGTAGTATACACACACGAAGCGCATATGGTGCTACATGACGAATTTACAGAGACAATCGTTTTTTTTTTTTTTTTTTTTTTTTTTTTTTTTTTTTTTTTTTTTTTTTTTTTCAAAATTTAGTTCAGCTTCAAATGTTCGGAGAAAATGTCGATCTGAGAGCTTCAAACAGATGGATGAATGAGAGACAGGTAGTTTATTGTTCTCTTTGAGAATTATACAATCCGGACCGCAATTTCGCAAGAATGTTAGTGTGCGGTTAATGGCGCCTGAGGGATCAATCAATTGACCATACAAGTGCCACAATGATTGCGAACTGATCACGCGTACGCAAAATACCGTGGACGAAAAAAAAAAAAAAAAAACAATTACATCGACGTACTATCATCACGTTGCGCAACATATGTGTTTGTTAATAAAAAAACGCCGAGGAGATATATTTAATTTTAATATCTGCATATTAATGTAACGTGTAATTAAAAAATTGTACGTGTAATTAAAATTGTACTGTATGTATAAAACATACATGCGTTTTTTGAAACTTTTATTCCGCGTATGTGTGATAAAAATCGAAATACATTACGAACGCCACGTTCGTTGTGTGTGTATCGAAGTTGTTTTCGATTTAGAACGGAAAGTGTTCTCTTGTCCACTTGCGCATCCCCGAGAATGCAATACCCTTGTAATCCGCGTATTAAAGTAAAACGAACGTTCACTCGAGCTCTCCGCGAGTCGCGTGTGCAGGATCAGTCCGTTAACTTTAAACTCTCTCTCCAAGGTAAGAAACTATCCTCGCGCGTTTAGGTACAAAACTCTGTGTGTGTGTGTGTGTGTGTGTGCGTGTGCGTGTGTGTATGTAAACGCGTTATCATATCGATTGTAAGGTACAAGTGTACTTGGCCCTCTGGCTACTATCGGAGAGAACGGAGTGCTGAAAGGCATTGCATATATAACCGGTTACACATGGCGTGACCGCCTCGTGCTGGGTAATTACGCAGTGCCTTGACCTACAAAACGTTCGTGCTAGGCACGCGAATCCCACTTGTTTCTTTTTTTAGTTTCTTTTTTTTTTTTTTAGAGGTAAGGGAGAACGAGCTACGATTGCGACTAAAGCTTTCGAATGAAACCAAGTGTTGTGTGGTGTCAATGAAAAGGTTGTGCGCCGTTGAGAGACAAAGTAGGCAGGGAAGGCAGTGCATACACCCAGTGGACTATGTAAAAAAGTGTGCACATATCAAGTGGGTTATTATGTAAAAGACTTGGATTTTTGTCTTGCGCATATTTGTATAGCGGAACACTCTCTTTGTTTTCTCGGAGAAGCGGAGAGACGGAAGATTAAAGAAAAAAAAAATTAATAATAAATAAACAAAAGCTACACACTTGCGCGCGTCCGCACAGTCGAACCAACGAAAGATCGAGGACGTGGGACACGAGGTATGCAGAGAGCGAGAGAAAAAATTTATCGCTGTGTACACACACGTACGTCGCGCTCTCTCTAAAAATAAAAAAAAAAAAAATAAAAAAAAAAGAACAAAAGAAGAGAAGTTATGATTTATAGAGTTTAGACCCCGTGGCTGGGGCTCAAAAGTCTCTTTTTTTTGTTTTTTTGTTTTTACGGACTCCGCTCGACTCAGCCCATTGGTGTGTATGTAGTGCCGCCTGATGATGAAGAAGAACATTAGTGATCGTAAATACCTTCGTCGTACAAAAGCAACACTCGAATTCGCTAGGTATTTCATCAATTTTCTCGAATTTTCTGCTGTCTTTTTTCTCTTCATCCTACAAAAGGTCACACACACAATTTCCTGTTTTACTTTTCGTAAGTAAACACATAGCCCTCTCGGTTCGGAAACGATCGAATCGTTTCCCGGTTGATCGTCTATTTTTTTTCTCTCTTTCTTCTTCCTCTCTCTCTCTCTCTCTCCTTTTCTTTTTCTCTCTCTTTCTCTCTCTTTCTCTCTCTCTCTCTCTCTCTCGTACACAGTTATCGAATATTGAAAGAAAATTCCGGTGAAACAATTCGACCACTTCGCAAGCGAAGAGAAACATCAAACACAACTAAACATGTGAGTGTCAAAAAGAAAACGTGGCAACATGATCACGTGGAGCCAGAGAGAAGCAAAGATTCTCGTGTTACGAGGGATTTTGTCACGGTGTGCCGACGATCACAAGACGCGAAAGATTACGCGTACAGCACGCGTCATCTCGAGCAATCTTTGTTTCAATAACACGTCTCGACTGTTTGTTAGTTCTTTTTAGAGCGCTTCGAAAAGCCGAACTACATTCATGTGTATTTGCAACGTCTAAGAACCGTTTTTTTTTAAAACAGCAATGAGAGAACAGAAGATGACACACGTGTTTCGACACACTACTACGCGTGATGTGAAAAATGTGGATAATAATAATCAAAATAAATAATTTAATCATTACAATATCATTTAACGCAAAATGTTGAGACATTTTCGCTATTCTATATTTAGATTATTTTAAACAAAAAAAAAGTAGTCGTCTCTTTCGCAATTCAAACAAAAGTTTTTTCGATTTTTTTGCAATTTGTCAAGAGAAATTGAAATGTTTTTATTTCATCTCCACTGAATACGTTTGCCGCGTACCAAACTTTTCTATGTTGAACAATTTGTTGTGGCAAAAGTCGAGTCAAACCGGTGTATTGCATATTTGCGTACAAAACGTGCTGAAAGTGTGTGTTGAGTGTCTCCCCCCCTCAAAAAAAAAACAATAAAAAAACGCCAGACGCGAAATATCAAATCAACAAACGTGTCGTCACGCGCAGTGATATATATACGTGGAATCTCGTGTGAATGAATGGTCACAATTGCTTCTCGTTACTTACGCAAACGGCGCGTTCACAAATACTTTTCGAAACGAGCCGCATTCGAGCTGCTGTCCTGTACATGTCCGCGATCCAACGTTTACATCTTGTCAAAACACACAATAAAAAATTCTCTTTTTCCTTCTTAAATGTATTAACGGTAAAAAATAACAAGGAATTTATTTAGGAGAGGTGTCACCACACAAAAGAACGTCCGTCTCGAGTGTGTAGAAAATTATCGTATGTGTGTGTGTGTGTGTGTGTGTCAATATTGTGTGTGTCATAATTGCACAATCTGATTTTTGTTTTATAATCGCAGTGTCCATTATCTTACAATGTAGAAATTCAAAATAAAAATGTATAAATTGTTTGTTTTTCTTTTTTTAACTCTGACTTTACTTTAATTGGACAGAGCTGGATAATACGCAGCTTTGGTGCAGGTTACGGCAATTGCTTCTGATAAAGATGAATTGACATTAAATTGAGGTCCAAGTAAAACTCTTTATTACAACACACTCTTCTCTCTCTCATTAAATAACAATATTACTCTACCCTATGAAGTCAAATGACTATACGTATGTAAAAAGACCATAGATAGTGAAAAATTGTAAAATTTTTAGATGAGTTTTCTTATTAGTTAGTAACACATATATCGAAAAATGTGCTTGTAGACCATATTTTGTAGACCACATATCGTTATTATAATATATCTACGCAGATGCAGAATATGTCCTTTTCTATGCCTATTTAAAACAAAAACTGTACGCCATGTTGTATATTTCTCTACTGAAAATATATTGAAAACAATTCTGAGTCATTGCGTGAGCTCTTCGCCATTGTGCGCCGTCACAACTCCCAGATGTATGCTCTAATTTGATAAATAACAACGCCGATCAGCTGAACTGTAATTAGACTTGTTTTAATTTACAATCTCTAAGTAATTAAACGTAAAGAAAATCGATACGTGAAACTCGATTCTCAACGAAGAATCGATACGCAAACGGACACGCAGACACGGAAGAGAAAACATTCTGCATTAAAAAAAAAAAAAAAAAAAAAACAGTTTCTTATTTCAAAGAGTTCGAAGTATTTTATTTTGTTTTATTTCACTTTTTTCTTATTTATTTCTGTTTTTGCCACGCAACTATAGACAACACTAAGAAACTACAGCTTTTTAATTAAGTTAATTAGTTAAATTAATTACTTTAGCTAATAATTATTAATTTAACTAATTATTTGACTAATTAATTAGTTTCAATTAATTTAATCAGTCTATCGAAATAATAGTTTCACATTATATATATCCGACAAACTTGCGAAGATCATTTGTCGCGCATAGTGATATCGCTCAATGTGCAGGTATCCATATCGCCTCGTTCGCGCTTTCCAAATGACACGTGTGGAGGTCAATTAGGCGCGAACGAATAGATAGGATCAATAATGCGTGGGATCGTCTTTTTTTTTCATCACTCGGCCATTCTCGACGTGCGCAGGAGACGCACGTGATCGCTTCGACACGGCGGGTTCGCGAAAGAAGCGGTCACGTGCGAATCGTTTTTTCTCGCGCGCGTACAAATTGGAGGGCGGTCGAGTAACGAGAAAAAAAAAATTCCAGTTCTTCGAATCATGATAGATCTTGTTTTGTAGACCGGAAACATCGATTACCTATATACATGTAATTGCGCTACGATAACTACAACAGACCGTAACTCGAAACGATCGACGTTTTATTTTTTTTTATGTATGTACAGGCAGTGTTTCCAAAGAGAGAGCGTAGTTTTTTTTTTTTTTTTAATATTCGTATAATAATAATGCAAACATTCGGAAACACGAATTCACGTAGATGAAGATGTGCACTTGTATCGTGTGCCAATACAATATCAGATTTTTATATATACCTATCGATATTATATAATCAATATTATGTAATCGATATACTTATCGATATAATTGATAAATTTATCAGGATACAGGAATCGTGTATTTACGGAATTGCATTTTTTTGGTTTTTTTTTATTGCAATAATATTATATTAAAAACAACAACGCGCGTTGCGCACAATATAAATTTTATTTTAACTCGACGAGTTTGTTTCGTCGCAATGTCGGCCGAGATCCAGAAAAATATAGCACGGGATGGAAGGTTTTTGATTCAATTACGTGTGCAATGCGCGCGCTGCGACTAGATATCTTCTCGTGTGGAAATCGCTGTCTCTTTTGTTCCTTGAATATTCATAAGGAAAATTCTCGAGAGAACACATGTGTGCGATAAGATAGACCCCGCACGAGAACAGACGCGGAACGACTCGATATAAACTGTATATAATTTTACAATATAGCATTTATATATATATATATATGTGTGTGTGCCCGGAGATATAGTTACCGGTCGATTATACACTCGTCTATTTCGGTAAATGCACGTAATATAGGACGGAACGATTACTCCGACCCGATATATATTTTTTTTTCGCTCTATGTTCTACTTATAAGTAGAGAACATATGTGTGATATATATATATATAAAGAATGCGCGCACGCGTATTGCGAAGTCTATCTCGTGCATACATGTTAATGTGGGAAACGTCATTTCAAATTCCAAGCAGTCGTCAACGCGTGAACATTACAATTTTCTATGTGCGCTAAGCGTCTAAAGCAGCTACGAAGCGACTCTCTGTATGTTACGTAATCTAATGTATAATATCTACGTAGTTTTGAACTTATTCTCTTTCAATGCACTGTGATTCGCAGCTTCGATGCTAGTAGTCATTAGTAGTATTGTGTATCTAGGACGGAGACAATATTTCAGCGAGAATATAAAATAGCAAAAAATCCCATTAGACACTATGTGGTAAATCGCTCGTAAATGCGTTTCGCAATATTTTCGGATTAAATTCGTTCGGAGAAACTTCTAAACGTTCCGTTTTCTCTGCCCTTTGCCCTTCAACGACACTCCTCTATCGACTTCGTCATCGCTCGCAGACGTGACTATGTATATATATACATATGTGTGTATATATGTATGTATATATATATATATATATATATATATATATACGTACGTTTTCACAGTTAATCCATCACGCTCAAAGAAGATTAGATGTTCAAGAGAGAAGTTGACTATATGTATACATATATGTATTACATACATATATATTTATGTGTATGTATGCGTGTGCATATAAATTATAAGACAATATCTATCGAGAGAGTGATCGATATTTCGAAAACTGAATAGCGCGATAGAACTGCAAATGTTATCGTTTATTATTGAAACAAAATATTTTTCTCTCTTTTTTTTTTTTTTAATTTAGTTTATTCAACACTAGCAGTATCATTGAACAGAGAAAAGCTCTTTGTTAGAAATTTATTATTTGACATTTACGAAGATGTATTATATTGAAGAATTATGTGTGTGTGTTTGTGTAATGAACATTTTTTATATGTAAAATGCTTTCTCTTCTGTTAAAAACAGGCGATGAGTATGTCAGAGAAGATGAGATAATAATTTATCGATTGCACACATCACACGTGAAAATTACGTTTTCTGATATGGACGAAGTATCGTACGCATGAGCAAGTTAAACAACGAAACGAAGTATGTTTTATTATATTCAAATCCCACACACAGTATCCGTACATTTGACGTAATCATGCGAACACATCTAATCTTCTGTGATCGCGATCGGTCGATCGGAACGAGAACGCGCGTTTTTTTCGCGGATTTCCCGCCCCGGTCTCCTGTTCCTTTCCGTCACGACTTATATTTATTCTAGAGAAAGGAGAAATTGCTCGCGTCCAGAAAGGATGGCAATAGCGAAGAGAATCGGCACACATGGCTGGGACGAGTTGATAGGGCTTCGGCAAGGTCCGACATATTAGCAGGTAGTAAATTTTCGTGTGAGCGAGTGTGTGACGAGTGTGTCTCTCGGCAGCTTCGATCAACGATGCTGGTCAACGCGCGCTGTCGGACATTGCCTGTAACATAGCGACATCAAAAAGGTCCGTGAGAGAGGAGGAGGCGCAAAAAAACCGTCGGGATTCCGCTCCCGATCGAAATCGGTTTACCGCGAGGGATGCTGCAAACCGGTTTCCGGATATAAGCTCGCGTGAATCTCTCTTAATTCGTAAAAACTTTCTTTTGAGCTAGTACTTAGTACGGGAATAAATTGACAACTGACCAGGACTCGTGTACAGTGCGCGCGCGCGCGCGCTCGTAAAAAAGGCAATTATATCTAATTGGTTTTCTTTTTTTTTTTTATTGATGTGCTATTTTGTTGTTTTGTGTGTGCCAATGCTTCTTCATCTAGAGTTGGAGTCAAGATATATTAGATGGACAGGAAGTGAAAGATATTACTCGTCATTATAGAGTCGCTCTACTGTGCGCCAAAAAAGCGAAAAAACATTAAAAAAAAAACAAAAAAACAAAAACAGATTCGCGTGACACAATAACAGAGAAAATTTCGTTGATAATTCGCACTTTTTTTTTTTCCAACGCAGTTCTCTCTCTTACTTATCCTGGGAACGGGAGGAGGGAGGATGGTGCTTCTCTGTGCCAAGGGATTGTATCTCTTGAAGATTGAAATGCGCGCATTTATATTTCAAGTTCGTAAATCTGGCAAGAATTCCCGTAAGAAAAATAAGATACTCATGAGATATAACACTGCATTTTGAGAAAAGTTCTCTCTTGTGTCCTTGTGAGGCAAGACGATTGCGCTTTTTCGCGCAAGTTTCACAAGTCTCTCGCCGTTTTGTTTTACGCATACGAACACAGTTATGTGTCTCAGAACAGATAAATTTCTTCTCCGTCCACCTAATATTTCGTTCCACCAATAACCTTTTCGACCCTTTGTGCGATTCGTATCTTCGTCGTCATCGAAGCAACACTCAAACGAAAAGAACACAAATCGTGTAAAGAGGTCGGCGCAAAATACATACCGAACGAGAGCTAATTAATTAATTGTACAAATTGCACGAAGCGTGAAGTATAATATATATATACGCGCGCGCGCGCGCGCGCGTTTGCACACACACGCATGCGTTGTAACGCGACTCCAATGAAGCTGAGAGTGAGTGCGTGCAAAATAAGTGACACCACCTTGTTCGCCGACGATGTGTGTGTACGTGAAGAGATCATCCTCTTAAATAAAACACACGGTGGCTGTGGGTAACCGTGGGAGGGAGGGTGGTGCCACCGCTCGCTATTAAAAGAGAACAACGTACTCATTGTTTCGGTAAGCGGAGCATTCCAGGACCGCAGCGATATGCGCGAGGGAGAAACGCGCGAGCTAAGTTAAAAATAATATCGCGCAACCGCGCGGCTCGCGAATTATTAGACACATGCTATTTTGTCGACAAAAAGCATTTGGACGATGTCGTCGGGCTTTGCGAGTGAGTGAGATGGCAAGAGGAGATCGATGCCGGAACGGTATAACGTGTGTGTAAACAGAATCGGATTTATACCTCGTTTAGACCACGGGGGGACGAAATGCGACGGCTCGCACGTAGAGAGAGCGTAAGACAAATAAACACGAGCTAATGACACACATCGCGCGAATTAATATCGTTAATCTAATCGGAAATCTAACGGGTTTTTTTTTTTTTTTTTTTTTTTTTCATTTCCTCCACGTTGTGTTTCGCGTGCTCGTTTGACAATTTCAACATTTACAGGTTTTGTTCGCATTACGCGCAACCGCGAAATAATAAAACTTTGTCATCGATCGAAATTTCGGTCGTGCGTATTTCTCGAACTTTGATCCACGACATGATCATAATTAACTTACGTACGTACGAACGTTGTGATCGTCATTAGCATCGTCGATATTATTACACGTAACGTGACATTTATATATTTATAACCAAAAGAGAGAATAAAAAATGTTTCACCAGGACGAAAATGTATCCAAGGGAGTTGGAAAATGAAGATTTTTCCGCTGTAAATATTATTTTCTCAAGCTGTATATTTTTACATTCAAATACATTATTTCCGTCGAAGAGGGACGCTATCCTCGCCTGTGAAATTTTTTTTCGACGAAAATAATATTTCGTAAAATATGCAAACGTGCGATAAAAAAAAAAAAAACAAATCCTACAGCACAAAATCTTTATTTTCTTGAATACCTTTTCGTTGCTGTACATACACGCGTGTACATAGCGTGTATGTAAATGTTCTTTCAGGCTCCGCGTATCGTCGCTTTATTCACAAACTGAAAAGACATTGAACGAAGATCGTCTGCATACGGGAAAAGTTGTAGAGAGAGAACGAAACAAAAAATCATATATATATATATATATATATTTATATATATAAAGTACTACTCGTGGGAAACTTTGCGCAAAAAAGGGTTCTGATTTTCATGTACCTGTGCCTGCGTGTAAATAAAAAAGTACAGACCGCGAATAATTGATCGTCGACGAATGCAAACGCGAAGCAAAGAGAGACGTGTTGTCGCATACTTATCGTCTTGTTATTATCGTGGCGACTAGAGTTTGCAGACCACCCTGTATATATACACATGTACCTCTTTTGCGAGTAATATAATTAAAACGGAGTAACGAAGACTCCCGGACTCGATTAAATGGCGCGGAATATGAGGACGTCCAATTAAGAATGTTGCTAATCAAAAAAAAAAAAAAGTTAATTGTCACACACACGTTTGTATCGCGTAATAATGTAATGTAGATGTAAACTTGAGATCTCTCGTAGAAGACGAGTTTGTGATCGACGAAGTCAGGGACAGGTACATCTCATTACGGACTTGGGTGGGTTTTTCTATCGTTTATTCAATTTACGTGGATGATTGTTTTCAAGCGACATACCTCGCATAGAGCGGGACTCTATATTTTTTTTTCATATACATTACATACGCTAATGTCGAGTACATATAAATAGCGTCAATTTCTCGAGACACTGTTAGCGACACACGTGCCAATTCGTTTGCGTTGTCGCTGAGCTGCATTGAAATGCGCATAAATTTATTTATGCGTTGCGTTCTCTTGCACAACAAAATATAAAACTCACAATAATTAATTACAGATTAAAATTAGTAAGGTGTGTGCATTTATTTTACGTAACGAGCCAAAAAATGAATAAAAGAGACAACACAATGCTGTGACGTAATACGTTTATTTATTTGTGCATGTAACAAATACACATACGGTTCTTTGTTTAAACGTAACACACGTAAACAATAAACAAGAACAATTAAATTCACACGTTCCGTCCGATTCTATGCGCAAGCATGTACGCTCTTTTTTACTTTTCATTATCATCTCGCACATTAATAAAAATGTTATTCCGTTATAAGGGGGGGGGGGAAGGGGACCACCAAAAATTTCGTGCGAAACTATAAAATATAAGCGACACACATACAACGAAGAAAACTCCATAGAGTGCCGTGTTCCGATAAAAAAAATGGTTACTCGTCTCGCGGAAATCGTGCGCCAAACTTTAATTCGCGAAGTCGTTCGATCTCGTTTCGGTCGGAGGTTTCACCGGTTACGAAAGAGGAAATTGCACACGGAGATTGATACAGCCCGATAATTGGAGTCGAGTTAAAAAAAAAAAAAAAAAAAAGAAAAAAAAACAAGCAGTAGAAATAAAGTCACACGTCGAGCTTTTGCGAGTATATGCAGCGATTCCGAATCTCGTTTTTCCGTTCGTGTTAATTCAACTCGGACGTTTTATCGCAAACCGATATTACATTTTTGACTGTAAACATTTTGGCTTTAAAGGAAACAAGTTCTGCGCTAATTTAAAAAAAAATGTAAAAATTTCACTTGAAATTCGAGTGAGTAAAAAATTGTAGTTTTTTATTCTATAAATGTTTGAAAAACTTATGAAGAAATTTTTATATGTTTATTTAATTTAACTTTCTAATTGTGAATGTATTTATTTATATTTGATAAAAACCGAGAGAATGCGCCACTCCGTAGCGCAGAAATAATAAATTTCAAGAGTCCGCGACGTTTCTCGTGACGTTTCGCTGTATGCGAAAACAGGCCGATTTCTCAATTGTTGTGCCAGACAATTCACGTTGGCCAAAAAAAAAAAAAAAAAAAAAGACGAACAATTAAGCAAGTAGTATCCAACTACGGTCGCTCGCGGGAGGAGAGAATACTCGACGCGTGCTTCTTCCGTGCAACTTTTGTGTAAAGAAGAAAAAAATAAAACAGTTGCCTGCACATTTTCATCAACCTCGTTGTCGTGTTTTTAAAAAGAAAAAGTACGGCGAGACATAAACAATAAACGTTTTGTTGTTACAACAACAACACGATTTCGACGAGTGTGGACTGAGTTGAATTGCCACGATTGCAATAGATGACGTTTTTGTGACAATAAACAAACAAAATACACATAGAGAAGAAAACATTTAAAAATAATGCAAACAATTTGATAAAAATTTGCCGCGACGGTTGCCGAGTTGCCGTCTGACCAGACGCTCGCTGTTACTACTGTTGCGCCCGTGCATCCAGTGCAATCGTCATTGATCGTCGCGTGTACGGGATGATTTGCTCTTTAACGCCGACGAATGCACTCGAAATTCTCAAAGACTCTAACGAAGTGAACAAATGTCGGAAGAACGTGACAGCGGAATCAGACTGTTGTCTAAGAAAAAGATTATAACATAAAAAGGAACTTTTCCTCTCGTGTTTAATTCACAACGACTCGATCGTATCGTCACGTGTCATCGCTACGTATCATCCGTCACGGCTATATCATCGGCGTTATCTCACCCCAACACATTCGGGTCGGCCGCGCTCATTAAAAATGCAAACAGCGGCACGGTAATGCTTTTTTTTTTTTTTGACGGGGAAGTTCAAGGCTTTCCCCTCCTCTCCGCAACGGCAGCGTGGAGAGGAAAGCCCGTGTGCTTCTTCCTCCTTCCTTGGGAGAAGACATTATCGCGTCGCGGTGCGTCCGGTACGTGTGGAGGCAACTATAGGTGTAAACGTTATATCACATATATTAGGACTTACACTAGATGTGATATTGCCCTGGTTTATGTGCTGCACCGACATCTCGTCCGGATAATAATCGTCGTTCTGAGCGCCCGGCACACTCTGAGCAAAGTCGAGGAGCCGACGATTGGGACTGTCGGGCGTGGTGGGCAGATCGTTGGGCAAGTTAGCGAAGCAGGCGTTGGACGCGCTGCGCCGATGTCGCAGACCGTGCTCGTAGTTACGATAACAACCGGGCCCGGTCTGAGCGGGCCCGCGTCCGCACGCCGACTCTCCCTCCGTACTGTTACCATCTACTCCGGACATGTTGTGGCCTGAAAACAGGTTCAAGGTCTGCGTTTGTTCCTTGCAACGGCGCGCGAGCGAAAAAAAAAAAAATAAAAAAATAAAATTGAAGCAACTTTTCGTGTAAGATCGCGATATTGAGAGGAGTCAGGTAATTATTGTTGGCGGTTTTGAGCGTTGAATGTTTTTTTTTTTTTTTTTTTTTCGAAACTCTACATATTGCGAAAAAGAAAAGGGATACTTGAAAGTAATTTTATACGAGGAAATATTTTGTTGCGAATCGATTGAAAGACGTGCGAATCGCGATTGAAAGGAAAGAAAGTAGGTGAAATGGAAAGCGAAGGAGAGAATAAGAAAAATAAGACGAAAGAAAGTAGCCGGCCGTCGGCTCGCAGAGCGATGATCGATCGGGGTCTCGGGTCGGGGCCGAGGTTTTGCAACGGTGACGGCGACGACGTAACTTGGGTGGCGCAAAGCAGATCGCAGATCGGTAGGTGTGTCCGATTCCACGCGCGCGCGCACACACACGTTAATCCGTCGCTTACCGGTGTCGACGATGACGTCGATGAGATCCATGCTCTTGGCGAAGGCGTCCCTCAGGTTGATGTGATGAAAGGACACGATGCTGCCCTCCCGTTTGGCCCTTTCGAGGGCCTCCCGCCTCTTGATCGCCTTCTCCCGCCTCATCTGGTTCTTGTAGAATTCGGCGAAGTTGTTGACGATAATGGGAATGGGCAACGCGATTACCAGGACACCACATATACAACACACACTGCCGATCACCTTGCCGAGCGGGGTCGTGGGGTAGATGTCGCCGTATCCGACGGTGGTCATTGTGATGCCTGCCCACCAGAAGGTCTCTGGAATGCTTATGAATTTGGTCCCGGGCTCCTCCTTCTCGGCAAAATAGGCGAGGCTCGAGAATATGAGGACGCCCATCGCCAGGAAGAGCATCAGCAGACCCAGCTCCTTGTACGAGTTACGTAGGGTGAAACCGAGGCTCTGCAGCCCGGTCGAATGACGAGCCAGTTTCAGAATCCTCAGGATCCGCATTATACGAAAAATTTGCACTACCCTGCGCACGTCCTGGAACTGGTCGTTCGCGTTCTTGTTCGTCTCGACCAAGAACAGAGATACAAAGTACGGCAGTATCGCCAACAGATCGATCACGTTAAGACCGCCCTTGAAGAACTTCCACTTGTCCGGCGAGGCACTGAACCTAAGCAGGTACTCGAGGGTGAACCACGAGATGCACACGGCTTCTACCATAGCGAGCTGCGGATTGTCTTGAAAGTTCCCCTTTTCATCATTCACTTGCATACTAGGAATGGTGTTGAGAGTTAGTGCGACCGTCGAAAGCACAATAAACAGTATTGATATCACAGCTATCACCTGGAAAATCGACGGGTCAAACGATCACAAACGGGATCTAGTCAGTCGCGCGGGCTACCTCGTCTACATGTGTAACGTGTGTTTCAAACTACTTTTCTCTTTCCTTAACACAATCTTACTCCTATGTCTGATTTTTTTTTCTTTTTTACCACGTCTACTGGGGGGATGTATTTTCTAACTCTTTCTATCTAACACACTTCCTATTCTTATTTATTCTAACTGTCGACGATGAAAGGAGAACAGAAGTTGTCTACATTATATAGCCACTAGAACTATTTATCCCGCAAACACGACACGTGTGTATAAATGATAAAAAAAATGCGACAAGATTCACTTTATTTTTTTTTCCCCCGTCAAGTGAACGGATATACTCTGTTTATCCTCAATTTGAGATTGTTTCAGAAGACCACGCTTGACTCAAAGAAAGCACACATTGCAAACACAAATCAAGAAAAATATTCCATTTTTTGGAAGCAATATATATGTACACACATGTATAATTGTATATTAAACTTGATAAAAGTAGTCGTCGTACTTAATAAGCGTTGGATCAATTATGACGATGGTAAAAAAGCTCCCAAAGCTTGTTAACGAAGCGCGTTATAAAGATTGAGATACGAACGGCATAATTATAAGAAATTTTCTACAGCGATCATATATGAAAGCAGATATATATCGGACAAATTATATATATCGAGAGATAAAATTAATCACTAATGTAATATCGTTCGATAAACGTTGCGATATTTACAGAAAAGCAAGCAAAAAAAGCGACTCTCGGACTCAACTTTGTTTTATCACGTAACTTAAACAATAAAATATGTAACTTTACACTTTACGTGAAATATATTTGACTTTTTATTTTACGCAAATATTAAATAACGCCAATTGAATGTCTTTAACTTTAGCGTTTTCACAAAAATATCCAAAACAGTCTCAAAGCTGTTGGAACGGTTAGTTTCTAAAATTTAGTGCAAATCACTCGGGAAGAAAACTTCACGTTACTGATCGGTCACGAGTCAACGTTGATTAAAACAAAAAAAAAAAATAAAAATAAATAAATAAATTGCGTTCGTTTCTCAAACGTTAGCAGTTTCTAAATTTGTTTCGATTTTCCCTCCGCACACCGGTTTGCTTCGCAAAGGTCGATTGAAGTAGCACACAAATTAGAGCGCGCCTAATTGGAACCTCGAAAGATTCTCACACGATACTAAGGCTCTTTGCAAAATCAACACACACAGTGAGAGAGAGAGAAAGAGAAAAAGAGAGATAGAGAGAAAGATCGTCGAAGAAGCAAACACAGCCCTGATCAAAAAAGCGAATCGCCACGAACATAAAGGGAACGCACGATGTCAACACAAACGAGAGACCAATACGTTTCTGCGAAAGTGGGGAATCGATTAATTATTTTTTACACACAAAGCAGAAAATCCCTATGGTGAGCAGAAAATCGATTGACATTCTCGCAGAAACGTGTAACAAACAACACAGCTTCGTCACACCGGAGGTGTTAATAAATAATCTCGTCGTTTTAAACGCAGTCTGCCCGACGTCGCTCGACTTTTGCACAAAATTTTTTTTTTTTTTTT